GATGCTGAAGAGCACGGTGGTACCATGGACAGCACCAAGAGCAAAAGACAAACGGGGAGTAAGAAATTCCTGCACGAGTTTGCAAAGAGGATGTTTCCCCCAGGAGTCCCACAGCTCCTTCCAGAGGTGGCTGTTGGGATCACACAGAAGGGAGGGTTCAGTGTCCAGCTCCTCAGATCCCGCTATCACCAGCTCCAAAGAGCTCCAAAGAAAGGGAAAGCTGCAATCACACTGGCAGCAAACAATTAAAACCTGCATAATTACCAGCTGATTGGCTTGATCTTGCTCTTGGCCAGGAGCACTGACAGTGTGATGCAAGACAAAGTGAATAATTAAAGATGAGGCCGTTAATTAATGAAATGTTCTGCAGTGAAAATATTCCACAAACCACAACAACACAGAGCCAGCATTCCAAAGGGTCTTCACTCCACGGGGGGACCAAAACTCAGCTGGTAAAATTAATTCCAGCCATCAGCTTAATGCCATGAAGTTGCCTGCTTAGTACTAGTGGGTTATGATTAATTGAAATTAATTAATTTAAATATTATCTACAGCCCTGCCCAAATAGCACCATCAACTATGGACAGGCAGATTTCCTGGGGGAACTTAAGCAAGGAATCACACATGGATGTGGATCCAGCCCTGATTAAATCAGCTGCAAGAATTTAATGCTTAGGAAACAAAATATTGTCTGTCTTACCTAAAAAAACCCTCTTTGGACACAACTCTGGGGAGAAATTCAGCCCGAGGCAGCCCCAGAACAGCAAACTTCAGTGCAAGCAGTTCAACCAGGCCAAAGCTGTAAGCTGCTGAAGGTAAATACTATCAGGACAATAAATATTGCCAAGTAACCTCAGTCCCAGGTAATCTGAATCCTAAATGGCCCCCCAGGTGCACAGGGAGTCACAGAACTGGTCAGGTTGGAAAAGACCTTTGAGATCATCAGGTCCAACCATCAACCAGCACCGCCAAGCCATGGTTTTAAGTGCTACATCCTCATGGTTTCTGAGCAATTCCAGGGAGTGTGACCCCACCACCTCCCTGGGCAGCCTGTGCCAACGCCTGACAACCCTCTCCATGAAGAACTTCTCCCTAAAACCCAACCTAAGCCCTCCCTTGGAGCAACCTGAGGCCGTTTGCCCTCAAACTGTCTCCTGTCCATAAGGCTCAACCAGCCCCGCTGCGGCTCCAGCCCTTCTGGCACCACCCCAGGGCTCACTTCATCCACCTCTTCCACCCTGGGAACCTGGGAAACACCCAGTTCAAGCTTCCCTGCCTGGGGGAAGATCAAGGCACTGTGGGAAAGGCGTTCCCAGAGCCAGGCTGTGGCTCAGGGAGGGCTCAGGTCCGTCCTGGAGGAGCCTCTGGGGAGGAGAAACCTCCCTGTGCTCCCTCTCCAGCACCCAAACCTTCCCTCCACCCACGGGGAGCTCTCCCAGCCCTCCCTGCCACTCATAACATTTGCTGCACCTCTTCTGGTTTATTTGCTCCCAGGGTCTGGAGAAGCCACTGCCTCAAATGTACTTTTTTTTGTTGCTCCTTGGATATGATCTGTACTATCAACCCCTGAATAAAATATAGAGGTAGTGAAGCTGTGAGGAGCATGAACTCCACTTTGCTTTCCCACAAACACAATTTGCCTTGTCAGTTCTTATTTATTTTTCAGACAGTGGCAGGTTACATCTGCCTCCCATTGGCCCAGCCAAGGCAAATTAACCCCTTTTTCCATGTGTGACTTATTTTGCTTTCATCTTCTCAAATCTGGCTGAAAAATATAAATACAGGGGAAAAAAAAAAAAAAAAAAAAAGAGAGTTTTTCAAGCTCTGGGGTCAGGATAAATCTTTCAGTCCAGGCTGCTTTTAATACTGCCCTGAAAACCTTTCTCTCAGCATACCAATGTCTCTGTGCAGCCCCAGTGCAGCACAGAGCTTCTACATGAAAAACTGGAAATAAACCCACCTAAAAATGGCTTTCAACAACCCATTATTCCACCCAAAATAAAAGCTTTCTACTATCATCAGGTTCCTGCCTTGGAGTTATTTATTTGGCTTTTTATTATTCCTGCCTTGGAGTTATTTATTTGGATTTTTTTCCTCCGCGCAGCTGTCGAAGAATTGACCAATTTCTTTGCTCTGCTCTCATTCCCAGTGAAATCTAAGTCTCCCTTTTAACCATTTCATCATTTTTCTTCCACGTTTTTGGTTCCCCAGTGCTTCAACTTCATCTGTCGTGATGAGAGCTGGGACCAGAAGGGAGCTGCTGCTCTCAGAGCAGTTCCACTCCACCTGGCAGAGAATACATTTACTGAAGGCATTGGGTTTAACCTTTAAAGCCTGAGAAAAGCACCAAAGTGTTGCTTTTAGTTTTCTTAACCCAGGACAAATTAGCATGATGGGATAGACTCCAAATGAGAACCTCATAAACCCACTTTAGCTGTGATTTTCGGTCTCCTGGCTTTGTGTGGTGATAAATCACAGCAGCCACTCACGCTGCCCCAGCGCCTGCAAAATAATTGCCTTTCACTGAGTTCCCACAGCTCTGGGTCCAAAGTGTGAGGGACAGTAAACTGAACTAGCTGGGATTAAAGAAAGACTTGCTTTGGTTTCCCTCAGAGCCCCCTTTGGGATTAAACTCCAAAGATCTGGAGAAGTTGGTGGCTGTGAAAATGCCTCCAGGCAGGCTCTGGATGATGTCACCAAAGGCTGGGTCAGGTTTGGAAGAAGCAGAGCCCTCAAGCCCTGGGGTGAAGTGTTCCCACCACGTTTGTGCCCTGTACCCCACGAAATTCCTGCCAAGGAGACGCCATTCCTAAAATCCCAGAGGGGTTTGGGTCAGAAGGGAACCTAAAACATCACATTTCTAACCCCTGCCATGGGCAGGGACACCTTCCACTAGCCCAGGTTGCTCCAAGCCCTGTCCAACCTGGCCTTGGACACTTCCAGGGATTGAGATAAATCCAAAACAGGAAAAAAGCCTCCTGTTTTTCCTATTAAACCGAATTTTACTGGGAAAAACCCACCTGAGGAGCTAAAACAGATGGTTTGTGCAGAGCAGGGTCCCTGGGAGGTGCCCTGCAGCAATTCCATTAAATCCATCCCCTCTCTACTGCGAGCAGTGAAGCAGAAAAATCATGTCCATTTTCCTCTGACAGGGTTCAAGGAGCTGCCCCAAAATAAAACCCCCTGTTTAGATCTGCTTGTAACTGGAGCCACACTGGTAAACAGGAATAAAATCCTCCCAGCCACAGCACATCTTTCCTTCTATGAAATTCCTCCTCTGCATTTCTTGTTTATTGGTTTCTTCTCCCATCAGTCCTTTACAAGCTGCTGCCAGGGGGATTTTGAGCTCAGTTTGGGCTGTTGCTCTGACACAGAGACTGGTTTGGGTTGGAAGGGACCCTCAAGACCATCCCATTCCAATCCCCTGCCGTGGGACACCTTCTCCCAGAGGAAGTTTCTCCAAGCTCTGTCCCAGCCTGGCCTTGGAGCCCTCAGGGCTCTGTAGGGAGGCTGAGGCTGCTCCTGCTGAGCTCCCAGAAGATCCCACATGGAGCAGCTTGGACATCTCTCACAGCAGTGGGGAGGAGAACTTGGGAGGAGATTCTTCACTTGACAGAGATGCTTTTTATCCTAAAAAATGCCTGGAAAAGCAGCCTAGAGAAATGGGGAACCTACACCTGATATTACTGCAGGAGCAACAGCTGAGCCCTCCAGCCACAAGTGAGAGGAAGAATCAAGCCTTGCCTGTGTAAACCCCCAGTTTACCATCCAGATCCGAGACGCTGGAGATAAAAGACACCCTAAGTTTGTCTCCATCCAGCACATTAATTATCCAGCATCCTCCCCCAGGCTCTGATCTTGTGTTCTGGCTCCACAAAGTCCTTCTGCTTTTCGAGACAGGGAACAAATTCCAATACCCCTCTGTTCTTTGGGAGGTTGAAGTGGTGGGAGCCTGTGATCTGCCCACCCCGCTCCCTGAGCCCCACGGAACACAAGAGGAAATTCAAGCCTCGCTGCAAACTTCAAATGCAAGAATTTTGCTGCCTGAAGACTCTCTCAGGCCTCTCCCTTAAAACCACCCTGACAGGTCCAGCAGAGCAGGGAGATCTCCGTGTTGCACAGAGAAACCTTTACCCTGAAACCACGAAAACGAGCTAAACATCCCATTTTGTCACTGACCACAACCCAAACTTGATCATAGAATCATAGAATAGATTGGGTTGGAAAAGACCTCCAAGATCATCAAGTCCAACCCCTGATCCAACTCCAATTACTATATCATGGCACTAAGGGCCACATCCAATCTCTGCTTAAAAACCTCCAGGGATGGTGAATCCACCACCTCTCTGGGTAGGCTGTTCCAATGCCTGATCCCCCTCTCTGTAAAGAATTTCTTCCTAACATCTAACCTAAACCTCCCCTGGCAGAGCTTGAGCCCATGTCCCCTTGCCCTATTGTTGGTTGCCTGATGTCTTAAGCTGTGATTCCACTTGGAAGGATCTTTCTCTTTGGCAATTCTTTAGTTGAAAAAGGAGCAGAGTTACCCAATATAAGAAGGATTTAAAGCTCTTAGAGAAGGCTTTGATTTGAAGTCGTGTGAGGACACTGAGGCCACTTGGAGAAGACAGTGGGGAGACCTCACTGCAGGTACAACTGCCTGGGCAGAGGCAGAGGAGGGGCAGGACTGAGCTCTGCTCTGTGTGACAGGGACAGCCCCCAGGGAATGGTCTGAAGTTGTGCCAGGGCAGGCTCAGGTGGGATCTCAGGACAAGGCTCTTCCCCCAGAGGGTGGTTGGCACTGAACAGGCTCCCCAGGGCAGTGGGCACGGCCCCAAGGCTGCCAGAGCTCCAGGAGGGTTGGGATGATCCTCTGGGGCACAGGGGGGATTGTTGGGGTGTCTTGGGGTGTCCCTCCATCTCATCACACGCTGTGGTTCTGTGACACCCTCCAGCACCCACCCCAACACCCCCATCCCACCCCATCCTGCCCTCCATCCCACCTGTGACGAGGAAGCTGCAGCGCCCGGCGCCGGCCTCGTTGATGATGTTGCAGTTGTAGAGGCCGTAGCTGTCCCTGGCCAGGCTGCCCACGGTGTAGTCGGTGGAGTCCTGCAGGTCGAACTGGCCGGTGCGGAGCAGCTTGGTGCCCAGGCGCCACTCGTAGGTCAGCACGCGCGTGGGGTACGCGCGGAGCACGCGGCAGCTCATGGTGACGCTGCGGCCCTGGCCCTGCCGGATCTCCAGGAACGTGGGCTCCACGGCGGGGGGGTCTGTGGGGGAGGCAGCACACGGGGTTAAGTGCGTGGTATTGATACCTCGGAGTTTCGATGTTTTGATTTTTTTTTTTTTTTAATTTTTGTAGATTTTAGAAGTGGTTATGTAGTAAAGGTAGATTTTAGAGTAGCAGCAATATTATCCCTTTACCCTTTAACACACCAGCTCAAACCCTTGTTACCCATTCCCATCTCAATTCCCTAAATTCCTTAGCCTGTTTAGTCTTCTTCTTCAAGAACATCCTAACCCTACGGAACAAGATATAGCTGTAGACCCAACAACCTTCAGGCCTAGAATTCTGGAAGGCCTCCAAGGACATTACGTGCTCTGAGGAAGATGAAGATGAAGAAGAGAGGGTCCCAAAACGCCCCCAAGACCAAATTTCCAAGAGGCATGGCGGGGGCAGAACGTGGGTAGTGCCAGGACAGGGATTGGGCGAAAATCATTATAAAAACTGTGGACATCTGTATTTTGGGAGCACACTGGGAGTATTCCAGAAAGCCTGGGGGCTCATTAAAACCTTTGTATCCTTATCTTATCTCCTACCTAATTTGGCTTGGAGTCTTTTTTTCCTCACAGCCATTTAGGCAACAGCATAAAGAGTTTAACGCAGCTTTTTAGTGCTCTGGAGTAGAACTTTTAGCTCCCCACCCCCCCTTTGTACCAAATCCCAGAAATATCCTTTAATGTTTCTCATTGAAGGGTTTGAAGGGACAGAGGTTTTCTAGCAGGGCAGAGAACGTCTTGTCTGCAGAGAAGGTACCGAAAAACAGCACAACAGGCAAGTTGTTTGACATACCCCGGTCCAAACCACTCAGAGAGGACTCAGAAACTGGTCCAAGCAGAACAGAGGATCATGAGGAAGATGAAGATGGGAGGAAGGGGTGGTCTTTCTGAGACCACCAACTCAAATCTGGGAGGTGTTTCCTGAGGGAGGTCCAAGGGGATGGACAGTTCATGGGCTGGGTGTAATGATTAGATATCATAATTGGTTATAATGTATTAGTTGTTAGCCATAATTTAGTTACATTTAATTTTATTTTATTATAATTAGTGTTAGAAAATTGTCAAACCTATGCTGGGGGGGAGCAACACACAATGTGCATATTGTGTCCTTAAAGCCCTTTAATTAAAGATAATTAAATTACCTTTCTATACTAAAAATTGCCCAGAGATTTTTTTTTTCCTCTCATTTAGGTAACAGGAGAGCAGGAGGTTTGTAAAGTGATTCATAAATCATTGATAAACCCCTGAATTAAAGTAATGAGAGGCAGAGTTAACCAGGCAAGGCTGGGACACCACAGTGTCCAGGGGAAGGAACTAAACAACAACAAGTTCACAACCTCAGTGGATGTGGACCAGCTGGTGACACAAATGTCCCCACACAGAGCTCTGGGTCCTGCTTATCAACACCTTCTTAGGGCACAGCCTTGAGCTGCACCAGGGCAGGTTTGGGTGGGACATCAGGAAGGAATTCTTTCCATGGAGAGTGCTCAGCCCCTGGAATGGGCTGCCCAGGGAGGGGGTGGATTCCCCGTCCCTGGAGGTGTCCAAGGACAGGCTGGATGTGGCATCAGTGCCATGGGCTGGGTGACAGGGTGGGGTTGGGTCCTGGCTTGGACTGGATGATCTCAGAGGGCTCTTCCAGCCTGGGTGATTCTGGGATTCTTATCTTCACAGACTCCATGCCATGCTCCTTCCAGGAGTTCTCTTTCACCACTCTCTCTCCAAGAGCATCTTATTGTCAGGTAACTCCTGACTTATCTGTGGTCTCCACCACAAATAGCAACAACCCTCAGACCTGATGTTTGTTTCCCTACAGAGAACAGAAGCTGAGACCACCTTCCCTCAGCAGCCGCAAACCAGGAACCAACCTGGACACGTCCAGCTTATCAACACTGAGCACCCCAGGACAACAAAGTTACGGCTGGAGAGGCAGAAGAGGTCCTTGCCCACGAAACCAGGAGGCTGAGTCCCACCAACCCTCCCAGAGGAACCACAGGCTCCAACAGATGGGATATAGGGGCAAAGGGGAGAATCACAGAAACATGGAATGTCCTGATTTGGAAGGAACCACAAGGATCAAAACCCAACCCCAGGACACCCCAACAATCCCCCCTGTCCCTCAGAGCGTTGTCCAAACGCTCCTGGAGCTCTGGCAGCCTTGGGGCCGTGCCCACTGCCCTGGGGAGCCTGTTCAGTGCCAACCACCCTCTGGGGGAAGAGCCTTGTCCTGAGATCCCACCTGAGCCTGCCCTGGCACAGCTCCAGCCATTCCCTGATTCCTGTCCCTGGTCCCCACAGAAAAAGAGATAAAAGCCATGTCTGGACTGGGATGGGGCTTGGAGCAACCTGGGCTAGGGGAAGGTGTCCCTACCCATGGCAGGGGGTGGGAATGAGATGATCTTGAAGGTCCTTTCCAACCCAAACCAGTTTGGGATTCTCTTGCTTGGGTGGGATGAAGTGCAGAAGGAGCGAAGGCCCTGCAGAGAGCTGAGCAGCTGATTCTGTGTTCTGTGGGGACAGAAATTGTGGGCACGGCCCCAAGGCTGCCAGAGCTCCAGGAGGGTTTGGACAACGCTCTGAGGGAGAGGGGGGGATTGTTGGGGTGTCCTGGGCAGGGCCAGAGGTTGGACTGGATGGTCCTTGTGAGTTCCATCCAGCTCAGGAGATCCTGTGATCCTCTAAACTCTGCAGTGGCAGGAGATGGATCGATGGAGCAGCACAGACACCCCCCCACCCCAGCACTGCCTTCAGGCTCCAACAAATATACAATCACATATTCATCTTTTTTATCCATTCAGGTGGCAGTTGTGACATTCCAGTAAGCCCAGAATGGGTCATTTTCCCATAACCAGAACAGGCTGTTTTCCCATAACTTGAATTAAACCTCACTTTCAATAATTTAGATTTGCAGCTACAAACCCCGGCAGACTTTTGATTCCAGCAAAAGGCAAAATAAATAAAATATAACCACCACCCAGTGTATGCACGAGCTCAGCCTCCCCCTCCCATCTGCCTTCTGATAACTCAATCATTGCAGCGGGAAAAGGGCAAGCTGGACAGAATGATGTTGGCACTCAGCTCTTGTCAGCACAGCTCTTTAGGGCTGGGGACACACGGGGAATGCACAATGGGTTTGAAAACAAGGCACAGCTCACTTGGTAACCCATGAGAAGAAAGAAATCCTGAAAGCCCCCTGCTCCAACAAGACACAGGGAATCTCTCTGCATCCATGTTAAAAGAGATGCTTTAAAGATGTAAAATATAAACATAGAGAAGCCACGGTGAGGTCTGAGAGAGAAGAACCTCCAGAGAGTCCATGCCATGCTCTTCTCAGAAGTTCTTCTTTCCCTCCATCCTTCAAGAGCATCTTATTCTCATGTTCTCCACTGGTTGTTCTCTCCATCACAAGTACAATTAACTCAGACTCCTGATATTTAATTCCCTATATCATGGAAACTGGAACCACATTCCCTCAGCTCCTGTAAATTAGGAACCAACTTGCACATGGACTGTGCTCTCCACCTCTTGCTCAGACAAGAGTTTGGCTGAGCACAGAGGGCAGGAAATTAAAGGGAATTTTGGAGACTGCCATATTAAGAAGATGTTGCTCAAAGCTCACGATATCCACTTGTCTTTGGAGCTCATCCCAGTTAATCAGCCTTTGTCTTGGGTCATGATCCAAGATCCAGTATCCAAAGGGGTTCCAAGAGTTGGAGAGGGTCTGGGGACAAGGCATGGAGGGACAGGGAATGGCTTTCCACTTTTCCAGAGGGCAGGGAGAGATGGGATCTTGGGAAGGAATTGCTGGCTGGGAGGGCAGGGAGGGGCTGGAATGGAATTCCCAAGAACTGTAAATCAAAGCCCAGAAATCTTGAATCCTCAATGCCACACACCCTCTGTCAATAATACTCCCCCAACTTGGTGTCATCAGAGAATTTCATCACAGCTTGACTGTTCTTTGAGCTCAGTTACAGAACAAAAAGTAAAAAAATAGGATAAATTTGGAAGAAAATTCCATGAGCATCCAGCCTCAGGTCTGACCTTTCAACACAACCCAAGAGTGGCTCCAGCTGCCCTCACTGTACAACTTCTGCACCTCACCCTGCCTCAACAACGGTTTGGGAACCATTATGGGTACCACAGAAATTACCAACCAATTTTCCAGTCATTTTCCCACCCTCAGACATAATCTCTGCAGGTTTGGTTTAATCATTTCAACCAAGATAATTCCATATCCATGCCCCCCACCCCTTCAGCCCTATTGCCTTCACCCTCCCAGCCAGCACCAAAATCCACCTTTAAATCCAGGGCAAACTGAGTCAGACCCCAAACAATCCATCAAATAACACAACATCAGGATGCTGAGACAGCAGGAAGATCCTCCTGATCCAACACCCTGCCCTGAGCTCCTGGGGGCGAGGGCGAGCTCGGAGAGCTTTGGGATAGGAACGTTCTGGAAGCTCCTTGAGGTGTGAGCAGCTTTAAGGGCTGTTTTGGCTGTGCTCTGCTCCCATAACTCACAAACCTGTTCACTGTGTGAGCTTCCAAACCCTTGCCTGCACTTTGTAACAACGTTCCCTGCTCTGTTTTCTTTGCTGTCTCCATTTACAGCTCCAAAGCCAGGGAAGAACATCTCCCCTCCCCACGGCAGCACGCATTGGTATTCAGTGCCCTCTCTCCTCCTCCCCTGCTTTATTTACTTATAAGATACTTTAGCCTTATAAATAGCTCTTAAATGAAACTTTCCCCCTGCCTTTAAGGTCAAAACAGTCTTTAAAGCCCCGAATTTCCATCTATCCAGGAACTGATGATACCCAGTGACAGAAAGGGAAAATTAACTCGGGTTGCTCATTTCAGAATTACACTTTTGCAGGTAATAACTTTAATGGAAAAGGAAAGGGATGATAAAGCCCACGATACACAGAACTAACAGCTTGTTTTTCTTGGTTTTTTTTTGTTTTGTTTTTCTTTGTTGTTGTTGTTTTTATAA